GGGAGAGGAGCAGCTTTCACTGGAGAAGCTTAGGAGGGAGGAGCAGCTGTCGCTGGAGGAGCTTAGGAGGGAGGAGCAGCTGTCGCTGGAGGAGCTTAGGGGGGAGGAGCAGCTTTCACTGGAGAAGCTTAGGGGAGAGGCTGGAGCAGGTCCTGAGAGCAGCAGCAAAACACTAAACCAGTGTTCATTCCTCAGGGCGAGGGCAGGGCGTGTGGAATAGAACCGGGGGAGCTGAAGGCCGGAAAGGCTTGTTACCTCTAGAGTCTCCTAGTCAGGAAAGCTGGGGGGGGTCTTAGGCACATGTTATCGTTTCAAGACAAACTTACATGACCCCCCTTCTGGTGAGAGGGCGCTGGGGAAGAGAGAAGCGCTTCTCAGCGGCTGAGCTGTGTGGAGGCCGGCCAGCAGGCCCCGGCGTCCCTGCTGCCACCGTGAGGGCAGCCGTGCCCCTCCGCCTCCGCCTCCGCCGGGAGGCTGGCTCTGGGCCGAGCCGGAGCCGCGAAGGCTGAGCCTGTGGCTGCGCTGGAGGCAAGGAGCGCCCCTCCTTCCCAGGCTTTTCCGGACGAGGTGCCCTTCTCCTCCGGCCCTGTACACCTCTCCGCCTGTCACCCCGCGCTGGGGGAGGGAGGGGGGTGGAGGAGGGCTCCCAGCTCAAACACGTGCCCACGCAGGCTTCTCTGGGGGGATGGGAGTGGGGAGCATTTGGGGAAATGCCCGGGCACACAGGGCAACTGGAAATCCTGTTTCTCTAAGAAAACTACCCTCCCGGCCCACAGGCCTCCTGCTCCTGCCCGCGCCTCAGGCCTGGGCCCCCCCTGTGGGCATTGTTTCCTGTGTCTGTTCCATTGTGACCGGTCAGACCGAGAGCCAGGGAATCGATGAGATTAGCCCGCCGGGTGCCAACGTGTCGCTGACCCAGCGATGAAAACACGCCGTGTCTCATCGTGGCTGGCTGAGAGAGCCCGTCGCGATGGGCCAGAGCAGTGATTTCCAACCTCCGTCCCCTCACGGCACATAAACTGATTGTGGAAATTCTGCAGCTCGCCAAATACGTTTTTTGTTGATTTGATAAATATATATATATATAATTTTAATTCATTGACACCGGATGGCTATTGTGCTGGCTGCTGTCATTTTTTTACCTGACAATCTGAGGGAAAGGGCCAGGGCCCTGGCTGAACGGTCAGGGGCTGCACGTGTTAACAGTCCCTGCAGCTCATGGGCCGGAAACCGCTGGTCTGGGTGCTTAGGAGGCGTATCTGTCACAGGACCAGCCGTCTGAGTGGGTCCTGCTTTGTAAATAGCTCCTTTTTTTTTTAAGACAATCTCGTGTTTTATAACTTCTCTTGTGGGTCTGAGAATCACAATGCTGGTGTGTTGTGTCAGAATGTCATCAGAAATACAACGGCAGTTATTACTTCATTGTCCAAATAAGACAAGGACTCTGCTGCTTGGGCCTCCGCCATCCTGGGAGACATTCTGTGTTTCCAGCGGGCACTCGTGCTCAGTGTCTCCCGTTAACGGAGCCGGAGATGCTTTCCAAGGTGCAGTGTTTTGTAGCCACAGAGAATGTGAACATTTTTCGGGCCATGACCCCGGTTTTATACACTGTAGCTCCTTTTTTAAAATACAATATTTTACTGGGCAGGAAGGGTTAGTAGTAAAAGCCGCTCCTGTCTCTGAACTAAGGGCTATGCCTCTTTGAAGCAAGCGTTTTGATGCATGTTTTTCAGCGAACCTTCTGCGTCCGGCAGAAATGTAGATCAGATGGGAGGTTAGTACCAGAGGACCAGCATGGCAGCAGCGACTCTTTCCGTCATTCCCCGTGTGTTTTCAGAGGTTGGGGGGGGGGGGGGCGCGTGAGGGAAGGGACCCTAGGAATCACCCTATTTATCTTAAATCTAAAACTTGGCGTACACATGCCTATAGGCCATGGGAGGGAGGTCCTTATCACTTTTTTATGTAAAATGACAGATTCTGCCACAAGGACAAGATTACCAGTCCACCTTCCAGAACCACAGGCCTGCGTTTAACTAGCAGGTCTCATTTGGCAGGAGTTTCTAAAATCGTGGACGCAAGCCCAAAGATAGAATGCTTAGGTCGCCCGTGTGTTTGAGATCACGTCGCCCTCAGGGCCGACTCCGCACCTTCCGTCTCCCGGTAGAACAGTGATTGATGTGAGCGGGATCCGCGGCCGTGCGGGGCTGAGGGCAGGGAGCACCGTGCTCCCAGGAGCCGGGCAGAGGAGGGGAGCTCTCGCCTCACACGCAGTTCTGAGTGCCGCCGTCCGCTCCCGGGCAGAGTGGTGTTTCCAGCCCACTCCCTGCTGAAGCAGTAAAGCAGTGTTTGTCTAAGATTGTAGTCTTTCAGGAGCTAGACTGGTGAGCCAGCTCTGCAGAGGACACCACAGAGAAGCTGGGACAGAACAGCACCCGTTGGGCAGCTTCTGTGGGGCGGCCGGAGGGTCCCTCGGGCCTGGACCCGCACCCAGGGAGGCCGC